GGCGTGGAAGCCCGCACGGCGTGGCCGCACAGCCTGCTCCTGCCCACGCCGGGTGGGACTTCTTAGCTGCCCTCGGGGTGGGGGGCCGAGCTCCCGCGTGCTGATCCCCGGGGGCCTCCCGGGGCTTCCCTCCGTGCCGACACCCGCACCCCGCGCGTGTTTCTGTGGCTTATCGGCCGTGCTTCTCCTTGGGACCCCTGGCTTTTTCTCCCGATAGTTGCGGAGTGATTTGGCCAAGCTCAGCGGTTTTCTCCAAACCCTGAGCGAATTCAACGGATCTTTGGGATTCGCAGAAACTCTGGAACTGACTTTTCTCTCTGCGGGCCTGTTTTCCAGGGACCTAACAGACCTTCTTCTAACCATCTTGGGGGAGGGGAGCCACTGCCTTTGTGATTGCCTGTTTGTTCAGAATGCTGATCTAGGATGATACAAGTATGCTCCAAGGAGCGCCCGCCGCCCATGGACCCTCCTCTGGATTATAAATAACGTGCCTGGCATGCTTTGCATGCCTGTTCTCACCGCCCTCTCCATGAGGCAGGAGGTGGTCTTTTTCCCATCTCACCGAAAGGGCTCTCCGGTTTTGTAAGTTGTCCATGTGGCCCAGCTTAAAAGTGACGAGGTTGGAATACAACCAGGTCTTTACATCCAAACCCATGCCCTGCTGTGTCCTAGGGACATAGTGACGAATGTTCAGGACAGTCCTTGTCGTTGAAGGTGAGAAAGCCAGCAGGCTGGCAGTCTTAGGGGTGTCTGACCCTTGAGAGGGTTGGACAGTAGGGATCAAAGAGGTGTGCTTGGAGAGGCCACTTCCTCTCCAAGTGGAATTTCTAAGGACAAGGAGGGTAACCCAGTAACAAAAAAAGAACAGTATGTGTGAAGATGATAGGCACAGTTACCTGAGGACTGCAGGTCACTGGCCTTGCTGAGTTTTGGGGTGGAGACTGGGGAGGAGCCGTCCACGATGCTGGATCCTCATCCGGGACAGTGGAGGTCCCTGCCTGACTCTGCCAGCGTGGTGTGAACCATCCAGCTGCCATGACTGCCAGTATGGTGTGAACCATCAGAGGTGGTTCCCCCCACCTGCTCAGCCCCCGTCCTGATGCACTGTGATTCTGGCAGGCCTGGGAAGACAGTGCATGGTGGGGAGCATGTTGTGGGGATCCTGTCACCTGGGTCCCATCCTGGCCCCATCCCTAAAGGGCTTTGCACCACTACCCCACCCCCCCGCCAGTTAGTCTTTTGGCCTCTGGGGTTTTCTTTGCTTTCTGTTTAATGGGAGCAGTAAAGCCTGGTCTCCCACCTCTTTGGTTTTGAGAGAATGAATGTGCTTTTCGCATCATGTAGAGTTTGTTCCACGTTTGCCCAAATGTACATTTTGTCAAAAACTAAGCTGCCTTTTGGGGCTTAGCATGTTCATGTGAAGATGTTAGACTCTATTGTGAAGAAGTGGATTGCTTTCCAGAGATTTGGAAAATGTTCTTAACAGGAGTCACTATTAAACCGTTTGTGAATTTTTGTATCTACTATTTAAAAAAAAATTCTGGAGTACATTTCTAGAATTGGCCAGGAAGAATGGAGAGCTGTAAAAGGCAAAACTAGTCTATTGTTCAAAAGCTAATTGGATGGTTTTTCATTCTGCTGTTTCTTCTTTTATTTGACTTCTCACACAGTACTTTGTAAACACATCAATAAGGATTTTTAACTCTGAATTCAGCCATTCTAATTTTTTTTTAATGGTTTGTTCTGGAAGGAGGCAAGTTATTACGATTACTATGATGATTAGATAATCTGGATTTGTCATTTTTGTTGCACAATTACACTTTTAAATACTGGAGATAATAAGTACAACGTATCATAACTTAGCTGCTTCTGCTTAAGGTGGAAAATGATTTCTGTATTTTATTGAAGATCTTGAATAAGCATGCTTGAGCACCTTAATGGCATACTTCAGATCTTTAGAAATTACACATTAGTGGAACAATTAACATGGGCCATTTTCCTGAAACGAAGGCTCTAATCTTTAGTCGCATTAGGGTGTGTTTCAGAGGAAGTTTTTTAAAACGTCAGCATCTTTGCATGATTTTATACACTTGTTATGTTATTCTGGATACACATGTATATCTTGTCTTTCAACTTTGTGTGCAGATGTTTGTGGATTCTTCTGTGGGATCAGAGGGCACACCTGTAACCAGAAAACTCCAAGTATAGCAGCAAGGATGGATGAACAGGCTCTTTTAGGGCTGAATCCAAATGCTGATTCGGACTTTAGACAAAGGGTGAGTTAGTCTGCTGAATCTTTTCTTTTAAAGCGTGTTACTACACATTTGCAGTAGAGGACTTGAATCAAAAATGTAACTGATGATACAGGTCTAATTTGGGTAGAAATGAACAGACACATTTGAGATACTTGAATATTCTAAAGAAGCAGCAGTGTTTTTATTTCAGTTTGGTTGGCTGAACAAAAGCATTAAAATCTCCTGTGATTTAAGGCAAATAGTTAATGCAACATCAGTCATTATTTCTAATGAGTTAAAAATTAGGAATTTTGGGAGAACATTATAAAGAAAATTTAAAAATTGAAATGCAAAGTATTGTTAAGGGCCTTTCCAGAGTTGCAGACATGCATATTTTATTTTCCCATTGCTTGCTTGGTCTGTACAAGGTGTTTAACCCTTGTATTAGTGACATTTAACATCCTTGTTACTTAGTCAGGCAGACATGTAAGTAAGCAGTTATGATATGCCACGTCTTAAGTTGCTTGAAATGATTACATGACAAGGAATTCATTAGGAGGTGCCAAGATAGCTGCTCACATGTCAACAATTCAATATAATGTAGCCTACAACTGTAGTCATGGCTGTAGCTGAATGATAAAAGAAGCATCTGAGGAATAAGTCTGTAATTAATTTCTTAAAGACATGTGGGTGTTCTGAAGCACAGGGTAAGTGGAAGGAGAGAGACATTTTCTTCCTTCTTTTCGTTACAAAGAATATTTTTCATAAATGAGCTGGCAAGGTTAACAATTTCCCTGATATTACAGCAGTTTTGTTCTGCTCTTAAGTAGAAGTTTTGTTTTGTTTTTGTTCTATTTTTTGAGATGTGGGGTACACTTCAGAATGAGGTATACAAGTGGTACAGGTAAAGTTTGGGCCTCTCTTTGGTCCCCACTTTGCCTGGCTTGAGATCAGGTACCCTTACTGATGTTGTCTCCCCCCCACCCCAAGCAGGAGTTTGTGAAAGTACTAAAAGAAATATCCCAAGTAGTTTCTAACGAAGTACCATGCGCATGTCTCTGCCATTACACAAGCAACTAGCCCTCCAGTTACAGGAAAATAATAGGGGTTGAGATTTAAGTATCAGGCCGATTATGAGATACTATCAAATGAGTGAGGACATCAGAAGCATTTACAGTTCGTATCTTCTGTGTGTAATCAGATATTCTTTTCACAGGCATTTAGCTACCTACCTCAAACACAGTTGAAGCATCAGCGTTTTACCCGTAGTCTAGTTTGCTGTTGCATGCTTATTATAACTAAAAGTCTGTGACTATATATTTAGTTCTTAGATGGCCTTTCCTGTTATTTTTTTATGTACCTTTTGAAATCCTTTGGTTTTTCTAATTTTTTTTGAGTTGGAGTTTCACTCTTGCTCAAGTACAGGGACGTGATCACAGCTCACCACAGCCTCCGCCTCCTGGACTTAGGTGATCCTTCTACTTCAGCTTCCCCAGCAGCTGGGACTGTGCGTGTGCTGCACTACGCCCGGCTAATTTTTATTTTTTGTAGAGACAGGGTCTGGCTGTGTATCGAGCTCTTGGGCTCAAGCGATCCTCCCGCCTTGGCCTCAAAAAGTGCTGGGATTAAAGCATGAACCACCGTGCCCGGCACAGTTTTATATAAAATGTGCATGACTTCTTTTTCAGAAAAGTAAAACCAGTGCATTGTTGGTGGCTTTAATACAGACATTGCGCTTTTTGTCAACAAAAATAGGCTCGTGGGAACTCTGAGTCTCAGGCGTGCTTTAAGCATCCAGGTCCAGGCATAATCTGATGTCCCATGAAGCCATTCTGCAGAACAGAATTAATCGGGATGAAAAAGGAGGTGATCTGAAGGAAAGGTGAATTCTCAGAGCCCCTTTGTTGCCTACAGGAGTGGAGTAGTGGGGACTTAGTTCAGTTGGTGGCGAGATAGTGACTGCCAGCTGTAGTTGCTCAGCTGTCTGTCTGTCTCTGTAGTTCGTTCTCTGGTTTTTACGTGGACAGTAAAAGCTGAACTGACTCCTGCCTCAGCAGTAAACCATTAGAAAAAAAGGTGTGGGAGCTAGGTAGAGAAAGCTAGAATTTGCTCATTGATGCCACAGATTTTTTTTTTTTAACACCGGTAATGCCCAGATTTGGAGTACAAAGACTTCGGTTAAAGACTTTCCGGTTATTCCCCACCCCACCCCCCATGGGATGTTCATCTTTGGCTTAAATCTGTTATTATTTAAAGAAAATGGTATGTCAGTGACTGTTCTAACAACTGAAACTGCTCCCTGGCACATACACTTTTTTTTTTTTTTTTGAGCTGGAGTCTCACTCTGTCGCCCAGGCTGGAGGGCAGGGGTACACTCATGGCCACCCCGGCTTCGATCTGCCGGGTGCCGGTGCTCCTTCCACCTCAGCCTTCCAAGTAGCCGGAACTACAGGTGTGTGCTACTATGCCTGGTTAATTTTCTTTATTTATTGCCCAGAAGAGGTCTTGCCAAGTTGCCCAGGCCAGTCTCAAACCTGCGGGCTCAGGCAGTCCACTTGCCTCGGCCTCTCAAAGTGCTGGGATTACAGGCTGAGCCACCAAGCCCAGCCTACATACGCTTTTTGTAAGTGAACTATTAAGTGCTCATACAACACACATAATTGACTTCGACCTTGCCCCCTGCTCTGGCCTCTGAGATGTTCCTGAAGGAAACCCTGGTTTCAGGGTCTGCTGTTTAGACCAATTGAGTTCACCTCTCTTACAGCTGCCTGGGTGCTCTCACTCATAACTTCCAAAGATAGCCATTATTGACTCTGGGCTGTTGTCCAACACCAGCAACCAATTCGCGGCTTCTGTGGGCACCAACTGGGTGTCCTATAAATCAATTCAGTTCTGACACTACCAGGAGCTAGCATCACATCCACAGGTTCAGGGCCAGTCTCACAAACTGCCCCCCTCAGACACCCCTTGTGAATCTAGAACCGCTTATATCTGATGACTGCCTGTAGAATTGGGGGCTCCCACAACTCCGTTCTCAGGTTCAGTAATTGACCAGAATGGCCCATGGAACTGAGAACGACAGTTGATTTATGATTGCTGATTTACCGGAAAGGATGAGCTCAGGAAGAGCCAAGTGGAAGTGACGCAAAGGGAGGGGGTGGACACAGAGCCTCCCCGCTCCGAGCGCCTTAGTGTGTTCAGCCGGCAAGTTCGAGAGCCCTTGCAGGTTTTATCTGCAGTTCTTGTCCCAGAGGTTGGTGGCTGGGGCCTTTCTGGCAGCCAGCCCTATCCTGTGGCTGGCAGGGGGCCCTTCAGTCGCCTCATTTGCATAAACTGGTGTGAGCTAAGGGGGCTCATTATAGCTAAGGAAAGAGAGTTCCGGCACTCACTTGGAATGCCGAGGTCTTTAAAATTCTGGGCCAGCCGGGTGCCCAAAAGTTTTTCCTATCCCCTAGGCTTAAGGCTGTTTGACGGTCTTGATCAGTGGGAGCAACCGTGAGACCACATGGGAGCGCCCACACAGTGGCTTGTATTGCTAACTCAAAGGGAAAGGTGCTTTCGCCTCTTGACCTGGTGTGCATGTGCACATTTACATCACATGTGTAACCAAAACAAGTTACAGATGAGAACCTTGCTATGTGCTGTGCATGCTGATACTCGATCCTGTTTTGATTTTCCAGTTACTATCTGGACTGACAAATAAATTTTTACTGTGGGACACACAACAGTTTAAAAAAATACTGAAATTAAGTTTCCCTAATGTTTCACATTCCTTCCACCTCAGGTCAGGTTTTGTCTCAGGACCCAATTGCTTTTAAGTCATCTCCCAGTGTTTACAGATCATATGCCATTGTCCTGGTAGCCGAGATGCTTTTCTTTTCTGTTCTTTTTTTTTGAGTCGGAGTCTCACTCTGTCGCCCAGGCTGGAGTGCAGTGGTATGCTTACGGTTGCTGCAGCCTCCACCTGCTGGACTCTAGTGATTCTTCTGTCTCAGCCTTCCAAGTAGCCGGAACTACAGGCACGCACCACCACACCCAGCTTATTGTTTGATTTATTGTAGAGAAGAGGTCTCACCAAGGTGCCCGGGCTGGTCTCGAACCTGTGGGCTCAGGCAGTCCTCTTGCCTGTCCTGGGAATGCTTTTGATACGTGGCTCCTTCCCATGCACGAAGCCCGCTCTAGGTGCCGTGTGCTCATGAGAGAGTGCGGAATGGCCATGCCCCACAGCCAGAAGGGGCCTGCGGACTCTGTTGCCTCCGTTCCTGAGGATCTTGCTCTGCGCAGCAGTCCGCTCATCAGAGGCCCTATGTTCAGAACTGGGATGAGAGGCATTTCCTAAGGCTTTGACCTTTTTAATCCTTTGAGACTTTCCCAAAATTCATATAATGCAGTTGTACTCCAGTCATTTTAATCTCTCTTTTCAGGGAACTTTCATGATTATAAGAAAAGACTTGAATGCTCTTTTCTGTGTAACAGTCAAATTATATACCTGTATGTATGTGGGTCTTGTATAATCAATCACCCCTTTAATGGCAGATGTGCTGTTAGATAGGAAAATGCCTTCACTTCCTACTTTACAGCCGTGGAGGCCTCAGGAGTTTGATGCTTGGCAAAGCACTGGGACGTTTTGCTCTTATTTCTTTTAATAACCCAGTGAAGTCTGCATGGCATTCTTGTGTTTGCTGTGAGGAGACAGATTTGAACACTACCTAACTGATGGAATGTATCTTTGTGTGACCTTTTTTCTAGGAAAGATCCCTAAGCTGTGGATGTTTGACCCCTGAATTTAATGTTTTAGCTGGTTTTCTGTTAAATTTACTGATTTATTAATAGTTTGTTACTCTCAGAATATTTTATTTAGTATCAGTAGGATGTTGGTGGACTGTTCCAAATGCTTTTTTTCTGGCCATCTTACAGGCTCTGGCCTACTTTGAGCAGCTAAAGGTTTCCCCAGATGCCTGGCAGGTGTGTGCAGAAGCTCTAGCCCAGAGGACATACAGGTAATTTCAACATTTGTGTGGCTCTTGGAAGAATTTAAATTTCTGGGAACGTGGCAGTGCTGTTAAGTTACCTGTATTTGGAAACTGTTTTTATAAAAACATGATCTGCCTTTTGGAACGCCATTAACATACAGTCATTTGGTATGGAAATGAGAAAAACGGTAAACCACTAAGTTTGGCTATTCAGAATTGACTTTTCAGCACAGTTGTCCTCTGCTGTGGGTTGTGGGTCTGATGGCACATTCTGGTCGGGACAGTGCAGTACAGACTTACCTTCCCTATCTTCTTAGGACTGAGAGTGAGAATTGTCTCTCCTAAAAGTTGGTGAAGGAAATGATCATAAGTTATAGACATCAAGCCGGGCACGATGGCTCAGCCTGTAATCCCAGCACTTTGGGAGGCTGAGGTGAGTGGATTGCCTGAGCCCGCAGGTTTGAGACCCACCCGAGCAACTTGGCAAGACCTCATCTCTATAATAAAATCAAAAACTAGCCGGGCGTGGTAGCGCATGCCTGTAGTTCCAGCTACTTGGAAGGCTGAGGCGGAAGGATCGCTAGAGCCCAGCAGGTCGAGGCTGTGGTGGCCGGGAGCAGCCACTGCACTCCAGTGTGGGCGACAGAGTGAAACTCGAACTAAAAAAAGAAAGTTATAGACATCTTGCACTTTAATTTTAACTTGGCATATATACACACTAGGTTCCCGTCTCGATTGTGTGTGCGTGCTGCTGGCACTACCCTGCTCTCCTGCAGTCCCCTGTAACCTGTCCTCTATGGCTTCCAGCTGGGGTCTCCCAGTGAGTTCAGATCCATAGGTTTTTTTTTTAAGACATTTGCACCCCGCCCCCAAGCCTTCTGGTTATCTAGACCACATCAAATATGGACCAGGTTTTTTTCTCCCTGGAGTGTGACTTTCTTTCTTTTTTTTTTTTTTTTTGAGTTAAGTCTCACTCTGTCGCCCAGACTGGAATGCAGGGCCGCTCGACCTGCTGGGCTCCGGCGATCATTCCGTCTTAGCCTTCCAAGTAGCTGGAACTACAGGCGCGCGCTACCATGCCTGGCTAATTTTTTGATTTATTGTAGAGATAAGGTCTCGCCAAGTTGCCCAGGCGGGTCTTGAACCCGCGGGCTCAGGCAATCTACTCACCTCAGTCTCCCAAAGGCGCGGGATTACAGGCTGAGCCACCGAGCCTGCTGAATTTCTAAATTTCTTTTCTTTTTTTTTTTTTTTTTTGAGTCGGAGTTTCACTCTGTTGCCCAGGGTGGAGTGGAGTACAGTGGCACGTACACAGCCACCGCAGCCTTGACCTGCTGGGCTCCGGCGATCCTTCTGCCTCAGCCTTCCAAGGAGATGGAACCACAGGCCCACACCACCATGCCCAGCTAATTTTTTGATTTATTGTAGAGATGAGGTCTTGTCAAGTTGCCCAAGCTGGTCTCGAACCCATGGGTTCAGGAAATCCTTTCATTTCCACCTCCCAAAGTGCTAGAATGACAGGTGTGAGCCCCCGCACCCAGCATAGAAGTCTTTCTAAAGCATTCAGCTTGATTTTTATAGACGTGAGAACTCTCCTATATTTGTTTTATTCATTTATATGGCAGTTAAGTTTCTTTCTTACAGAAGAAGTGCAGCTTGGTATTGTGAGGCTTGGGGAAGTGGGAGTAGAAGGCAGGTGTTAGGAGAGAGCCTTCTGGCTGGAGTCTCAATGTACTCTGCTTGTCAGTCTGTTTTACACTTGAAACCAGGTGCTTCAGTTTAGAGAAAGTTGCTTTCAAAAACTCAGCTGCATGTCTTATAGTAAATAAGAGCTGGCTTTTAATTAAAGGCTTCCTGTAGTAATTTTTTTAGTGGAAAATCTCAAGTCTTGTATAATTCAGTTAAGGTTTCAGTGTCATCCTTAATAAGAATAGAAACCCAGCCAGGCTCGGTGGCTCAGCCTGTAATCCCAGTGCTTTGGGAGGCCAAGGTGATTGGATTGCCTGAGCCTGTGAGTTCGAGACCCGCCTGGGCAACGTGGCGAGACCTCATCTCTACAATAAATAAATAAATTAGCCGGGCGTGGTAGCGTGCGCCTGTAGTTTCAGCTACTTGGAAGGCTGAGGTGGAAGGATCACCGGAGCCCAGCAGGTCGAGGCTGCGGTGGCCGGGAGCGACCACTGCACTCCAATCTGGGTGACAGAGTGAGACTCCAACTCAAAAAAAAAAAGGAATAGAAACCCTAAGGTCTCAGAAAAGATGCTAATTAAACCTAGCTTTACAAGTTTTAAAAGAGCAAGTTTCATCTTACATGTGAAATTATTTTGTTTGATTAATTTATATGGTATACATTAAGACGACGTTTCCATTACTACTTGGGCCAGTTACCTCTATACGTAGGAAAGAAACTCTGAGACTGAGCCTGACCCAGACCTAGAGGGTGCTTGTCGGAGTTGATAGCTGGCTCGCTGCAATTCTCATCACCCTAGAGAGACAGCTGGCACTGTGGGGCTGAAAGGGGCGCACTTTGCCCTGTTTTGCAAGAACACCCTTTTTGTAATTTAGTGTCCTGGAGGAACTTTGGCAGTGGACAGACAGGCTGCCTGACCCTGTGTGCTTTGGATTTGGCTGTGATAGAACTGACTGAGGCTGAATTTTTTTTTTTTTTTTTTTTTTTTTTTTTTAGTTGGAGTCTCACTCTGTTGCCTAGGCTGGAGTGCAATGGCACACTCACGGCCACCCCCAGCATTGACCTGCTGGGATCCGGTGAGCCTTCCACCTCAGCCTTCCAAGTAGCTGGAAATACAGGCTTGCGCCACCACACCCAGCTAATTTTTTTATTTACATCAGAGATGAGATTTTGCAAAGTTGCCCAGGCTGGTCTCAAACCCGTGGGCTTGGGCAATTCTCTCATCTCGGCCTTCCAAAGTGCTGGCGGGGATCAGCTGCCGTGCCCAGCCGGCTGAATTTTAAGTAAGAACTGGATGACCGTCTCTGATTTGACTCAGTCTCTGACTGTACTGCCATTTGTCATTTTAAACTGACCTTGAATTGTGAAACAAAGAAGTTCTTCCAGGAATCTTTTTTTTTTTTTTGAGTTGGAGTCTCACTCTGTCGCCCAGGCTGAAGTGCTGTGACATACTCACAGCCACTGCAGCCTCAGCCTACTGGGCTCAGGCGTTCCTTATGCCTCAGCTTCCTAAGTAGCTGGGACTACAGGTGCACACCACCATGTCTGGCTAAGTTTTTAAATTGTTATTATTGTAGAGACAAGGTCTTGTCATGTTGCCCAGGCTGGTCTTGAACTCCTGAGGCTCAAGGCAGTCCCCTCGCCTTGGCCTCCCAAAGTACTGGGATTATAGATATAGGCATGATTCACTGTGCCCAGCCCAGGAATCCTAATAGCTGGAATTTAGGGGGAACATCTTGCTTCTTTACAAAGCACTATATCTAAGGCCCATCTTCATTTTTTTGCTTGCTCTGTGATAGAGTTTTCTTAACTTTGTAAGTAAATGGACTTCAGTGTTATAAAGTGAGATAAGAAAACCAAAGGTCAGCTGAGCTCGGTGGCTCAGCCTGTAATCCCGCGCCTTTGGGAGGCTGAAGTGAGTGGATTGTCTGAGCCTGTGGGTTCGAGACCCACCTGGGCAGCGAGACCTCATCTCTACAATAAATCAAAAAAATCAGCCAGGTGTGGTAGTGCATGCCTGTAATTCTGGCTACTTGGAACGCTG